GTTGAGCTTTCTAACATGAATAGAACTGTTACTGTTGTGCATTATTGGATCTCTGTCCACAAGTTACACACCAAGCTGTGGCTGGCCGGCTTAATCTAGATTCACTGGTTTTCATCAAACACATTTGGGTTTTAGGTTGTTTTTGGGGTTTTTTAGATGTCTAAGTGATTAATTTGCTATTTTTGATAAGGAATCTTTGCATCGTGTCACTCTACCTAAGATCTGTATGAACCGAAGCCATGCCTTTCAGCGGAACTGGCCCCGTTTGCCTGGGAACCAAGTGAGGACATGGTGGCTGTTAAAATACAGCCCACCACGTTGTCGGTTTCTGAATGGCAAATGAGTCAGTTGGTTGTGGTGCTGCCAGAAGGATCTTGAAAAATCTAAACTCATTTAAATACCAAATACCTTACTTCATCATTGATGTAGAAATAAGATTTGTTGGAGGGCTTCAGTTAGAGAAAGCATACGGTTAATCTCGTCTAACGAGACTAATCTGTTGTGTGTCAGATAAACTTGTATCTGTTGTTATTGTTATGTGAACCCTATGTACAGCAGCCCTAAACCATGCTCTATCCTGTGCCAATCTTATTGTCTCTGACACACCTACTCCTGTTACCTAGAAAACTATTAAACAGTTCATGGACAGAGTTCACATTTGAGGATGTGGATTAACTATCAAATATTTAAGACACACAATTGTGTATGCAGGAAGACAAGCTTCCTGCCCAGTGGACTCAACAGTGGGACAGTCCAGAGTAGCATTACTGTCCATACAGTCTTCCTTGAGCTGACACAGTATATTCCACCCTGTACTTGTCTCCAGAGGTGAGACCATTGGCACGCTTTCCTCAACACACGTTTAGCAGATCCTATCATGTGTGAACCAACAGCAGACAACCCAGGATAGTGTTCAGTTGAGTGCAGGGAGTTTGAGTACTAAACAGGAATTAGAAGACCAAAACTTCATTGAGTTCCCTCAATTGTGTGACCTGGGTCAGGCTTGAAGCATGGATTGGCTAATCAGTAGCGGGCAAGGCTTTCTGGGTGAGCAGAAGCCTCGTGAAGGAATGGAAAATGAATTTACATAGCAAGGTGTAGTCGGACCCAGAACAGAGGGCGTGTTAGGAAGGAAGCATGACTGGACACCTGCCCAGCCCAAAGTGAATCCAAGAACAAGCCACAAACGTTTGCCTCAATACAGAGATCATTAGATTCCAGCAACAATACCCTGTGAATTTGCTCCTCAGATAAACTGGCTAGCAAACTGGACAATCAAAATGGGTTTTTTCACCATCCAGACAGGGCTGCACTTTTACTCCTGGGGACTTTCAATAATTTCATCAGAAAGCACGTTGATGAAGGGAAGTGGCGGGGCCGTGGAGAACAGATCTGTGCTTGACTTCTAGACCCTGGTACGAGTACTTGTCTCTGAATCTCCCATTTTTTAGCAGGTATTGGGATAAGTTAATCAACTTGTACTTGGTTGTAAAATTTAAATGAGGTAAGTTTCCAAGTATCACAATAATGCTCATTCCATTTTCCACCATCCAAGTGGCCCTGGGTCTGGTAGATTAAAGACCTGTGACAGGGTCGAATCCTGCCAGGCTGGGTCTGGTGGATTAAAGGACCTGTGACAGGGTCGAATCCTGCCAGGCTGAGGGAATAAGGAAGGTGCTTTCCGAGGTACAGACAGGTCTTGAGTTACAACCAACACCTACTGCAAAGTGTTTCTAAATCTAAATTGATAAGCTGGAACAAGTGCACATGAGTCTTACTTCACTTTAGTGCAAGAAAAGGTTTGAAGATTTTTCTGAAATTTAAAAGCTGCACACACACAAAAAAAGCTGCACACACTGAGGTGATGGTGATGGTGTAGAAATGTTTTGGGAGTCGAGAGTGACTGAATCTTTTCAAAGTGAGGGCACGTTTACCTAACAAAGGGAAAGCAGGAGTCGTCCATAAGCCCAGTGTTTCTGAGTTGTCCATTTACTACTGGAATGCAAGGAAGTCTTGTCTAGTCAGCATCCAGCAAGCCCTCTGAAGCTCTGGCTTGCACGTGCCATTGTACCCTTTACTCAGTTCAGAAACTGGAAAAAAACATTTACTTTCAGGATAACTGTGCTCTGAAGGTCCAAACAGTAAAACGACTGTGTTTTCTTTTAGACAGTTGATGCCTCTGCTATGGAAAGTAAATCTAAAATGCCTTACGACTTTTTTTTCCAGCATGCTACCAATGAGAACTGATGAGAAACTGAATGTGTCTGATGGGAGTGCAACGAGCTGCCCTTTGAGCCCCACTAAGATGTGCCTTAACCGTCCCGTTGAATGGAGTCTGAATTTGACAACGTCATCGCTAGCAAGCTGTACAGTTCCTAACCAAAATCTCCCGAGCGAAGAGAAATAGAGGGCAGACCTTCTCGCACTTTCTTCATTTTGTATGTCTGTTCTTTCCGCTGAACAATAAGCGTTTATCAGTGGAACTTGAAATATTTCTAGTCCTGTGACTTGTCTATATGGAATCATTAGCATTAATAATTTGGATTCTATTTTTTGTATACGTTTTTTCTACATCATGTTTTGCACCAGACCATTGTGGAATTTTGCAGTGCAAATGGATTTTGATGTTCCTCTTTTTAATGGTATTTTGTGAGTTTTGTATGCCCTGAGTTTAAATACATAATTGTCCTGTTTTATTTCCGTGCACAAAGTTTTAATATATAATGCATTATGTGACTTAGAATGCTAGTATTGTAAAGATTTGTGGTGACGGCCTAACCGATGAACAGCTGTGTAGCAGGTGGATACCAACTACCTCGAACCAAATTGGTCAAAGGCAAAGGTGTCTCTTGGAAGTGTGTCTCTCTCGAAGTTATATATGTATAGAAACTGAGCACAGTTCCTCACCCGACAGCATGTTTCCATTTCGAGGAGAACCTGAGCGCGCTCTCCTCTACCTGTCAACTTCCCAAGTCTGTGGGCCACAGAAGCCATGGCACATTCGCATGTTTACTCTTCAGCAAATCTGTGCCTCCACAGCTTGCACTGGCTTTGAGGTTTTTTGTAAATTACCAGTTTTGAATGAAAAACCCCAGTACGTGGACTTTCCATCCATTGGTTTTCGTTTATAGCGTTTTAGACATTTATGTTACAGTTGAGAGGAATGTCTTTTAAAAGCAGGATTACTTCTCTTCAATCCTCAGAGTGCAAAGCACCGCTTTGGTGCTGGCTGCGTGCCTGCGTCGACCGGTATGAAGAATACTGAAGGTTTGGGTCGGTTTTCCCACCCAGAAGCAAGCTCTGGCGTGGTGCTCACGTCAAGTCTGTCGGACATGGCTTCTGGCCTGGCCGGGGCACACATTAGATTTAGCTTGTTGTTTCTAAAGACTTTTCCTTAAAGCATATTTTGTGTTCCTCCCTACTGCCTAAGAATGCTTTATAAAAAAAAACCACGACAGGAATAAAAAGAAGACCTGCACCAGGACTAGAAAGCACAGGAAGACACGGAGCCGACAGTGAAGACCAAGCATGCGCGGCACTGTTCTGTGCCGTCGTCATGCCCGCCTGTTCCTTACCCGGCGTGCTTGCTTCGAACTTTCTGCCTTTTCCACAAAGTTCCAAGTTCTGGAGAGCACCTGTCTGGATGTACCACAGCAATCTGCTTCTAAAAGCCAATGCTCGTAACCGGCGCCAGCTTACATCTCATGAAAACAAATGGCCTCTGAGAAAGTAAATCTTAAAAAGCACAATTATTCTTAGACTAGATCTATATTAGGGCGTATTTTTTATTGCAAATAATAAAGAGAAAAGGTAATTACTGGATGGTTAACAGTAAGTGTGTTGTTGGTTTTTGGGGTGCTGCAGGAGGACTAATTTCACATAAGCTTCCTAAACCAGACAAGTGCCTATTTCAAAAGATGACAAATACAACTGACACAGAAAAAATAGTACTCGTAAATCAGACTATAAAGAGGACTTTCAGTCATGTTCCATCCCATCCATGTTACTTGTATTTAGAAAAGATCAATTTTTATCATTTTATTATGCCAGAGCCCACTAACTGATGCCTAGCTATGTAGACACTCGTGGGGACAGCAGCCCACGAGGACTGCACAGAAACTCCCTTCTTGGAAGGTAGTTCATCAGCCAGGACCCCAGGCCGTCAAAGCATCACACTAGCAGAGCGAAGGATCCTTACTTGGGTTCCTTACACTGGTTCTAGTTAATAATGTTCAAAATCTTCCAGGTTTTCTAGAGAACTAGAAAGGCACCAAAGAATCATCTGATCCAAGCCCTTCACCTTAAGAGATGAAAACATAAATACATTGGGAAGGCACACGGCGCATTTCGAAGGAGCAGGACGGTTTCCCATTTTCTCACCCGTGTATGCAGCAACAAGCTGGGACCCAAACACAGGCCATGGGAGCAGGGCCAGAAGCCAGGCCTCTCAACAATAATGTAGGTTAGCCATTGCCCAGGGGACAAAAAAACCTGAGCTCAAACAGTCATGAATTAAATGTATCCAGAATTTTCTAGAAATACTTCCTACTTCCCCATGCCATTAAGAAGGTCCCCCCACCCCACTCCACTGGAATTCTTTCACTCTTCCTGGGCAGTTTGTGACATGTCATTTTAAACTGTGTCATGTTTGTCTGTTGGATCTGCCTCTTCTCAAACACAAGGTACTGTTCTATTGTACCTGAAAGTTCTCCAAAACACCAAGATTTGAACCGTAAAGACTCTCTCTCTCACACACGCGTACAGAGACATGCACACATACACGAAGTCAGCCCCTGACGACACAGGCCTTGCTTATGGCAGACACACAGAGGGACGGACACTGTCCTGACGCTGCAGTGTAGGCAAAGGCCATGTGGAGCCGCAGAGTCTTAGAAAGCCAGGCGGTTTGTTCTGATTCTAACACAGGGGTGACTTTATTAAAAAGCAGAGACTGGACATCAGATTCGAGAACCTTCTGAAACGCCCACCAGCATCTCCTCTCAACAGCTCTCGTCGGTGAGGATCTGGGCGAGGTTCACCTTGCTCTTCTCCAGCGCGGCCGTCTTGGCGCGTCTCGGCAGCCTCACCCTCATTTCTGACTCCGGAGCTTCACCGTCACTACGCAGATGTTAAACACACCAATTCAGATACAAGCCTTCAAAAGACAGCTTCCTTCTCTTTGGTTCTGACTGGTATTTATCAGTGTGTATCTGACAACCTGATTCACTAATTAAGAATTAAAGCCAAAAAGGAAAAAAGAAACATCATCCCACTGGCTGGGATCTTGCAACATGAATTTTGGAAAACCTAACCAATTTGTGAAAATTGGGATGGGACCTGGTATTATGCAGAAAAAATTAAAGCCAAACTTTAGGAATGGAACTTGTAAACAAAGGCCATTAACATCTATACAAGAGTATTTTTTGAAAGTCAAGAAGTGAGGAAAAATGTTTTTCTTGATAGAGTCAATAAATTCCTAAAGCACTGGGTGTAGCACATTTTCCTTAAGGGTCATTTATATTTAATCAAGTTATACTGAAAACACATACACTACAATTGTACGTATGAGTAAATAAAGACAGCTAGCAACATTTCACTTCCAACTTTGGCTTAACCAGCGGAAACTAAAAAACACTCTCCCACGTAAAATAATAATGCACACAAGTTACAGGCAGAATTATCCTATCCCTGTAAATGTAGAGAAGCCAAATTTTGTCTAAATCTCAAAAGTGTGCTAATTCTAGATCAAGCTGAAAGTCATATAGCTGGATGTGACTAGAAAAAACACGTGGAAATATGAATGACAGAGAAAATACACTTCAAGAAAACCACCAGGTCCAAGGTCAAGCCAACCATGGCAGCACCCTGCTGGTGGAACTCTACTCAAGAGAGTTATTTCTACTTCACACTTGTTAGAGCCTGAGTTTCTCTCACTAACAGGCAATTAAACAAAAAAGAAAAAGCCGTTTTCTCTACTTGCAGACATCTGAAAAGAGAAAGAGCCCTCTCTAGACTGCAAACACGCACGGCTTACCTGTCAGAGTCAGTCTTGGCTGTAGGGCGCCTTCTGCTCGCCCTCACCGACGCTGTAACTCTTCTACGTCCTTGAAGAAAGAATGACACACGATCCATCTTTATGATATTGCTTGTTTTTAATCTAGAGTATGTGCTATCAAAACCCCTTCTTTCCACTCTTTAACACATTCCGTCAGATTTCCAAACGCCACAATGCGCATACTCAACCCCACAAAGCAAAGAAACCCAAGAAACAATTGATTTTCATTTCTCTTGTAAATCCTGACAGGTTTGAGCAAAGAAAAAAAAAAGGAAATGATGAGCAACTTACAGCATAAGGTATTTGGGGAAAGAAAGATGGAAAATATGCTTTAGAAACAAAATGGCTTTCTGTGGTTTAACAAGGTATGGAAAGAAAGGAAAGAAAATGGAAAGAGGGGGGTAAAAAAGCTATGTTAGGGCCATAAACCCATCCAGGAAAAGTAGAGCTTTAACCAATAAGGTAGCGCTGCTGGTGAAATATTCAAACATAGGCACAGCCAGTCCAAATACGAACTGTAAGATATATTCACCTGTAAAAGCAAGAACCTCTAACTGGAGATTGGGAATCGTGAACATTCGACTTACTAAAAAACAAAGTTAAGAAATGGGAATAATTGTGTCTGCCTCGTGCTGCCCCTCATCCCAGATAAACAATGTACGCAGCATGTGTACATGAAGTCGGGCCATTTTTCTAAGAGTGGAATTCTCATGGTTCATTATCCCACTAAAAACAATCTGATGAAAATCAAGTGGTTCAGTATAACTTGGGGGGAAATTATATGCCCCTCACGCAAGTCTCTGTTTACGCCTCTGTTCATTTTTTCCTTATTTCCTTTTAAACTTCTTATTCATTTGTCCCTAAAAAAAAATCCAATAATAAGAGACTCATGTGGAATAGTGTGTAGGACTTGAATTTTAAATAATGGATTGGTTATAAAATAGTATTATGGCCAGGTTCCATTTCAAGGGGGGGAAAATTTAACCTGTATAAAAAGGGATGCTAAAATATTTTTTAAGGGTTAAAATTATGGCTGGCTGCTGCGTGGGATATTCATGTTCTTTCTAGTACTTTGCTTGGATGTATTTTCTGATTCTTCTGTAATAAGCATGCATTGCTTTTGTATAAGAAAATAAAACAATAAAAAGTTATTGAATTTCAGCCTTTTCTTCCCCATCTGGTTCCCAAATAGTCAGCCTTTACTTTATTCCAACAAAACTTTATTGTTGGATATTCTATGGGAACTGTATAAATTAGAGAAATAGGATGAAAAGGAAGAAAAGTTACCACAGAGAGTACTGGCTAGGAAAAGACTTAGACTGCTGGTAAGATAACAGTGTCACGTGGTGAAATCAAATCATCTACAAAAGGTCTTTTCCACCTTTCCATCAAAGGCACTTGGGAGCAACAGTGATTTCAGAATCTTTCAGAAACGTCTGCAGATGTCAACTAAAAGTATTAAAAGGGAAATGAATGATACTGAAGACATTTAAAAATCTATCTCTAAGGAGACAGGAAAGAAGCTTTCGCAGTAAATACGTCCCTAGAAGACATAATGCCCAGGTTACGCATGAATTGACCCACATACCTCTGTTAGTCTTTTGCACGGTGGACTGTGGGGCTGGAGTTGTTTTTATAACCCTGACGGGAGTCATATACAAATCCTTATTCTTTCCTATTACAAGAAGTTAAGACAGGATGTAAACAAAAGGTAAGTCTCATGAAATATTTTAAATCATCTTTTCAAGTCCACAGTTCATCTAACAGAAATGAAAATTTCATTAGCAGCTACTGAAAAGTCATCAAGTCACTGCTGAGCAGATTGGGGGGAAAATCCCCTGAAAACCGCTCAGCGTCAGAAGGGCACACACACACACACACACACAGAGCTGTCAAGCTGGTACCACACACACACACAGCTGTCAAGCTGGTACCAGGCACACAGAGCCGTCAAGTGGGTATCACTCACAGCTGTGAAGCTGGTACTGACGTAGAGTTCATCCTCATTTGGGTTTCTGCCCCTGTAAATCACACGGGAGGAGAAGCCCAGAGAGGCTGGTGCATTCGAACCTTTGGGTATGCAGCACAACTCACCAGTGAGGCCACCAGAGCCCCCAGTGAGAAATGCACACGCCAAGAAAACTAGAAACAAAACACTTACAAGCAATGCTTTCCCCCAGGAGAGTTACTTAGAAGAAATCTGTACTCATTTTTAAAATTCAGTCTCATTACAAAAAGCCAGCTTAGCCAAGGTGAAGGGGGTCTAGGTGGTGAGGGTGCTCTCACCGTCCTCGCCGGGAATCACAGGCTCTGAGCTGGCATCCTGTGCGGCTCCTGCGTGGTCCGCACGTTCTTTACTTCCTTTTTCCAACTGCACCTTCATTTTCTCCAAAGCTCTCAGACACAGCCTATCTTTTACTTGCTATAATAGAAGACAGTGAGGTTATAATGTGGCACTTTCCTGTTTTCCTTCAGAAAAGTAACAGACTGGTTAAATTATTTGAAAACACCCTAAAATTTATGACATTTGAGGAAAATGGTTACTTCAAAGGAGCAAAGTCACAAGATATTTATTTAGTTGACAAAAAAGAAACTAAGTAAGAATAACCTGAAACTCTTTTACCTCCAGGATCTCATTCAGGAGACTCAGAAAGTCTTTCACAGAAGAGGTACTGAGCTCTAAGGAACTCAAGGCTTTTGTGTAGACCCGGATTTCTGGTGAACAAGGATTGGCTAAGATCTCATTGCAGAGTTTCATAGCCAAATTGTCATGTACTGTCAAAGCCTGAAAAACCAAGACAAAAATCTTTTCCAGAAGCAGAATGTTAGCACTGATTAATTCTGTTTTCATCTGAGTACCTCCACATTTCCTCCAAAATATTTTCTAACTCTGCCATGTGGTACCAGGTCAACCAGAAGAGATCTCTGAACAGATCAACTGCTGCCCTGCACTGTTTCAGTCTAGGAGCGCAGACTGACCAGAACAGGGATCTGCGGGCTTCGTCCTGCAACCCTGGAAAAGGCCCGCATACTCACCCACCTGATAGTCCTGGGCATCCTTGGTCTGAGGATTTAACCCGCTCGGTCTGGTTAAGTCTACGAGTAAATCGGCAACATTAAGCATGTCTACGTCGGCTAACGGAGAAGATGCAGGGGCATTGGCCAGGGTTTGCAAAGTCGGGAAAAAAGCTTCTTCAAAGCATTCTTGATTGGCCCTGTGAAAGAACAACTTGAAAGTTTGCGGAATAACGTCTCAGGAGAAAAGATTATGATTCGTAAGACTACTATGTATAAAATCAATTAAACAAGATAAAGCACATTTCCATCCATGAAACAGTCAAATAATTAACTTAGGTAAATTCTTATTATTTATCCAATGAGGTAAGAACGTGAACATAATTTAAAAAAAAAATTTACATGAGAGACATCCCTCATTAACCTGAAGTTTGATTTCTCGTGGTAATTCAATACCTGCTTGCGTAAGCAAACATGGGGAAGAAGACTCCCAGGCAATGGCGAAGCCGAACATCCTCTTCAGTCAACGGATTGTACCAGAGCAAGATGAGACGGGAAAGGATTTTGCTGCTGACCAGAAGCCCAGAGAACATCAGCTTGGCGAGTCCTTCCGCAGCGCCCGTTCTGAGCTCAGACACCTAACAACAACCATTTCATCAGACAAAGTTAGTCTAACGTAGCTCCCTATTAAGCCTAGAGGGTAGCCTGCACTGTAATATTTTTATGTGAACCATAAAAAATTGCTGGTTATTATAAATTTACCAAATAAGATCTTAATTTCCCCTCAAGACATTAATGCTGAGAGACAAATCTTTAGCTTGGTTATAAAATCTCCAGTACCCTAAAAACTCTTAAAAAGAATCAAGAGATCTTTTTTAAATTGTGCTTTAAAAAACCCAAATTCTTTGTATTTGAATAATTAGTATAATATTCTGAGACACAGGGAACCTGTGTTAACCGTCTCTGCTAAAGTCGCCTGTAGCTTCAGAAGTGTGAGTAGCAGCTACCTGTGTGATTTATATAAACAGCCGGTGTGCACGTTGAGACGCACTCCGAGAAGAGAGAAAGGCTGACTAACCTGGGGAAGAAGGGAAACTCAGAGAGGACATAGAGTACTGATCAAACAGTGGTGCAGGTATACTATGTGCTGAGAACTCCAATTAACAGGTCTGAATTCAAGTCAAGCCCTAACACAGCTCAGCTGTGTGGTCCGGCACATTACGTAACTCTGTGCCTTATTTTCCTCATATATAAAATGGGCAATCGTAAAAGTACCTATCACTATGCTCTGCATTGAAAAACAAAGAACTCATGAAATAAACAAAATGGGTGACCCTCGAGGATATCATGCTGAGTGAAATATCTCTGTCACAAAAGGACAAATACTGCATAGCGCCACTGTTGTAAAATGAAACTGATATCAGGGCTAGGGGGACCCTAAGAAAAGAGGGGATAATCATAATGTATACTGCATTGAAACAGATGAGGGAGAGAACTGTTTAAAAGGAATATAAGATTAGGTATTACTTCCATGACAAGATTACAGAAAAAGAAATGCATATTAAAGTGGACTGTGGACTGGAGGGACTATATAACAATGAAAATTTTTTTTTCTTCAAAAAGAAAAATGACCTGGGGGGGAGGGGTGGGCAGGGAGGAAAATGTGCAACAATGAATGAATGGGGGAAAAAAATTAAATAGAAAGAATATGACGTAAAAAAAATGTTGCACTAAAAAAAACATTAAAAAATTTAAAAAAAAAATTTTTTTTTAAAGTACCTATCACATGGGGAGCTCCAGAGCCATCACGTGTTACTTGTCATGTGGCTGACCACAAGGTCAAGGGCACAGACCACCCAGACACTCTCCTCCTGAGAACTAGTGTGGCAGATGCACAGAGGCTGCGAGAGTCAGAACACAGCGATGAGGCTCCGTTTGCTTTATCACAGTTAATTGGCTCAAGAAACAAAGTTCTCAGGACAGGCCTATCACACTGCAAATCCTAATAAAATATTAACAATTATGTACTATTTTTAATGGAAATAAATCAGCTTGGTAGTCAGATTATAAAGAGCTTAAAGATTAGGTAGTGAAAGTAGATCTTAGGGAAATAACATATGACATTACTGAAGGTTGTTTTAAATGGTCAGGAATGACTGTTAAGTGTGATGTGGTGAGCAAGTGCATCGACAATCCAAAGGCACATGGTTTGAATCCACCAGCTGCTGCACAGTGGAAAGATGGGCAGTGTCAGCTATGCGTCAGTTCTGCCTCAACAGTACCCAACAACAACAGCAGGGAAACTTAGCTTCATGTGTTACAATCTAGAAATGAAAGCCAAGTTTAACCTAGAAGACCTACAAGTGAAAACAACGGAATAAGCAAACAGAAGAGGGGTTTTTTTGTTGTTTTTTTTTTTCTTTCCAAATACAAAAACGGAAGACAGAAAAGGCAGCAGCACTGGTGAGGGGTCGGCACTGCCCTGGGCCTGCCACCTGCCGACACATTCGGTGCCACACGGTGGGGGCAGAGACTATTCACCTGAGCCCTGAACTTCCTGGCGTACGTATGCAGTGGCTGGCATGTGTCATAACTGCTGCTCAAACATCCGCTGAACGAATTAAACAACTTCTAGAGGAGTCATTGGTCACTGCTGTCGATTTGGAACAAACTCGCAGCTGACCCGCTAGTGGGTTTTCAGAGGCACTAAATCACACAGCAGGAGACTGCCCATCCCTCTCCCAGCCTTCCTGGTGGATTCAAACCACTTGCCTTTGGGATGGCAGAGTAGCGCCTTACCCCAAGGCCACCAGAGCTCAATTCTCACAGTAGGTACTTTTAAACCCATTTTACAGATGAGGAAACAGGACAATGTATCTCAGCCAAGATAAGCACAGATGCAACCAGAACAAATCTACATCTCCAAAGGCATGCATACTGCTCCATCCTTTTAGATTTCTAAATAAACTTCTCTGATAGCAAAAGTAACCCATTCAACATCGTTGTTGTTCTTTACTGTTCGCCCACAGCTGACCCTCCTGTGGGTTTTCAGAAGCAGTAAATCACATGCAAGGAAACTGCCCATCTTTCTCTCCTGGAGCAACTGGTGGGTTTGAACCCCAAGCCTTTGGGATTGTAGAGCAGGTTCTTACCACTAGGCCGCCAGAGCTCCACCTAAATGTAGAAATTTTCATGGAGTCAGGGCAGCAAGTCTTTCTAACAATAGAAATGTTACTTATGACCTAGAGGAAGTTTTAACTGTTCCGTGATTACGGCCAATGTAGCGTTAACTTCAGGGAATCGATGTTAGCTAGGAAGAGATGCACGGCACCAGTGCTCCCTCCCACTCTACCACTGTCCATTACCTAAAACAAATGACTGTCGAGCACTTTTTACATTTAATAGTTTCTACACCTTGTAATAGCAGCAAGTCCACAGCACCGGACATTTCCCAACAAGGAGTTGGTACAACACACAGATAAAACTAGCACATTAAATGTCTATATGCCATAAATACATATCTCCTGTTCCAGTCACAAGTGCTACTCTTTCTAAAAAGAAAGAATAAGATCCAATCCCATAGTCTTCTAGACCTTCTACTCAATCCAAGGTCAAAAGACTTTAAGCTGTTTCCTTACTCATAGAGATGTCTTAACATTTTCGTTTATATTTCAAATCTCTGCATGTGTACTTTGTGGAAAATGAGATATCCTAAAAGTGAAAGCTGAGATTTAATGAAGAAATTAAATTTTTATGAAGTCTAAGCATGAGTACTAAAAAAAAAAAAAATTAAAAAGCCAACTGAATGCATTCTGAAACAGAGCCGACAGTGGCAAAGCGGCCAGCATTCCTACCTCGTCGTCCAAGAAATCGGAGAGAAGTTTCAGGACACTCTTGGCCACTTCTGTCTCTTCCTTAGCGTCTCGTAAGTCCTGCTTTTCATCATCACTGTTTATTTCTGGGCTTTCACTTTGAGGATCAGTGCATTTTTTTACTTTAAATGGTTCCATTCCAAACATCATCAGTTGGTCAAAGATCGCCTTTAAAGCACTGATTTTCACTGTGACTTCATCAATTCGCAAAACCTAAATTGAGATACCCTCCGTCAAAAAAGGAAAGATAGCAACTTCTAATTTTGTGTTTATCCTGAATAAAATTAACAAGTAACCTATTTTTTCCTTACTCATGTCAATGACAAGGTTCTATCTGTAAGAAACGGCAATATTTTAAAATTTAGAACTTCATTTCTTTTAAGAATAAGTTGATTTTCAGTAAAAAGAGAAATGGGCACCTCCAAATATGACTTTATTCTATTCTCTCTGCTCCATCCAGTGTAGCTGTCTTTTTTTTCCTTTGGGAGGGGGCGGGGCGGCTGGTATATACAGCAAGTTTATTTGGTGAATGCTACTGGTGAGTATTATCCAAGAGCTACAAGATGGGAAAGGAGCTGTGAAAGCCGAGGCAGCTCTCAGGGCCACATACAGTCTCACGCAGGAGAAGGCACGGGGCTCTGGGGACACAGGAAGGGCTGCCCTCAGCCATTTAGCACTATATGGACAAGCTCCGTCCTCCCCACGGGGCCCGTCACCCTGACTGGATATGCGTCACAAACACTTCACAGTTGATACAACCATTGCTGTCCTCATGTCCTGCCACCAGCATCTCTATTTCTTCCTGTTATCTTCTCACCCAGTGTGACAAGGACCTGCGAGATTTCAGCACCCATGACAGTGCCGTTCCCTTCCTTGTCAAACACCCAAAGGCCTTCAACATAGTCCTCGTAGGTGCCCTGGTCCTTGTTCTTGTTTACGAAGAGCTCACAATCCAGGGCCTTCCCGTTCATTTCATCACTCTTAGGGGTTCCGAGGACCTTGACACCTGAGCGTCAGTGGGGTTCCGGCCCAGGGCCCTCATTCATCTCCATAGTGGCTGCACAGGATCTTTCCATCACCGGTTCGGTCAAACAGCTGGAAAGCCTCCTTCAATTCTGCGGTTTGGTCCTCGGTGAGTCACACATCTTGAGCGCTCAGGTATCGGGACCTTTTCCTGCAGTTAATCCTCTTCTTGGCTTTATTTTTCAGCATTTGACATGTTGTTATTAGGTGTCATCGAGTCCAGTATGACCCACAGCAAACCGAAGAACAACAGATCTGAACCCTGTCCTATCCTGTGCCATCCTCACACTTTCTGACACACTTGAGCCCAGAGAGGCAATCACTGTATCAAATCCCCTGGTCAAGGGTCTTCCTCTCCTTCACTGACCCTCTGCCTTTCAGAACATCACATCCATCTCCAAGGAATAGTTCCTCCTTGCAACATGCCTGAAATATGTCAGGTGAAGCTTCTTCATCTTTGCATCCAAAGAGCACTCTGGCTGCACTTTCTTCAAAACTATTTCGTTACTTTTCTGGCCGTCTATGAGATGTTCAGTACGCTTCTCCAACACCACAGCTCAAAGGCACCAATTCTTCCTCTGTCATCCTTATTCACTGTCCAGCTCTGAGATGCATACCAAGTGATAGAAAAGACCGTTGCTGAATCAGACATCATTATTCCTCAATAATTTGGAGAAGTCCCTAATTGCACTTCTCCAGAAAATGTGTCTCCTGATTTTGACAGGTTTTTGACAATTATATTGTTTGGTAGTTTCCACATTCTGTTTGATCGGTTTTCTTGGAATGGGAACAAATATGGACCTCTTCCAATCCACTGGTCCGACAGCTGTCCTCCAAATTTCCTGGCATAGACTGTTGAGTACATTCAGGGCTGCATCTGTTAACTGAAATATTTCGGCTGGTATTCCATTGATTCCTAGGGCCTTAGTTTTTGCCAATACTTTCAATGCAGCTTTTACTTCCTCCTTCATTACCACTGGCTGCACTATTCACTTGGTTATGTGCTATAGAGTTGCCTATAATTCTCAGCGACACTATTACATTAGCTCTGAACCCTGACCTCTTCTGAGCCAGTCTCATTTGATTTCACACACCTAAGCCCTTTGCCCCAGTTACTCTGTCAGTCCTTCTGATCTAGGGTCTTCCTCTCCTGCGCTGTCCCCCCACCCTTCCAAGCATGTCTTTCTCCAAGGACTGGTCCCTCCTGGCCATGTACCCAAAGTATGGGAGATGGAGCTTATATGGTACTTCCTGAAATTTTTGTGTCAGTTCTAGTTCTGGTACAATGACTCTGTATACTCCCTCCACTTTCTTTTGATGCTTTCTGGGTCATTTACTATATTGCCCACAGCATCTTTCTGTATTGCGACTTGAAGCTTAAATTTGTTTTTCAGTTCTTTCAGCTTGAGAAAGGACAAATGAGTTCTTCCCTTTTTATTTTCCAATTCCAGCTTTCTGCATATTCATTATAATGCTCTACTTTGTCTTCTCGAGGTGCCCTTTGCAATCTTCTGTTCAGCTCTTTTACTTGGGCATTTTTTCCTTTTGTTTTGCCTTCTCAACACTCTACTGAAATTTTCAGAGTCTGCTCCGACATCCATTTCAGTTTTTTCTTTCTTCTGTTTTCATAATCACCTTTTGCTCTCTTCATGGATGATATCCTTGATATCATCCCACAGTTCATCTGTTCAACACTTCAAACCTATTCTTAACATGATTTTCATACTCAGAATAGATTTAAGATCCTATTTAGGTTTTTTGGACTCGTTTTCATTTTTTTCAGCCTCAACTTGAACTTACACATAAGTAATTGATCGTCTGCCCACGCTCCACTCCAGGACTTGTTTGACAAACTATATACTTATTTTTATGTATGTGATCCCCTTTTAGAATGTTAAGATCCAATCTGGTTTTTTCACTACTATGTACTTCAAACCCGAAACATTCCTGTGCATAAAACATTGCTTTAATAAGTATGTCCTATATGATTAAATGAAGAAAAAGATATATTCTAAAATAATTGACATTTTATCTTTTGTCTACAAAGTAGTTTAGTACAGAAGAAATCAAAGAATTAAAAAAAAAGAAATCATCCATGGGCCCAATTTGAGAAAGACAAATTTATAACATTAGCATTTTAACACAGACACAATTTATTTCAGTTAGAACTGAAATAGTCACAAAAATCAAACCCACCTGCAGAAGTAATACAAAGTGTTTACGAGCAAATTCCTGATTCTGTAGTCCACAGCATCCCAAGCATAAAACAGCTAAATTTCTTATTATAGGATGAATACTAATTATTCCAGGGAGAATCTAAAACGAATAAGAAAGGAAAGTAATAGTGAACAAGGCAAGACAGGAATGAGATAAGTCAAGACCATGGTTTTGATGTAACTAAATTATTGCATTTCCATACCGCCTGTTAACCCAAACAAGTCTTTTTTAATTAAAACCAAGTACAGAACACACAGACACAGACACAGACAGACACAGACACAGACACAGACACAGACACACACACACGAGCTCTGGTGGCCTATGGTAAAAAACTTCCCTGTAATCCCAAAGGCACATGGTCTGGATCCAGCAGCTACTCGGCGGGAGAAGGAGGGGTGATCTCCTCCTGTGCCTCTGAAAACCCACGGGAGGGTCAGCTATCGGTCAGTTCTGACTCCAAGGTGCACAACAACATATATGTCTCCTCAGTAATCTTCTTGAAATACACAGCAATAATCAAAAGCATATCCATTTACTGATGTGATTAAAACTCTCATTTTACCGGGAGGAATTCAGACTGCCTATGTCCATCAAGTATTTATTCCCAGCATGCTGGTGAAAAAGTAATGACATTTCACTTAAAACAGTGCTGTAAAAATACTGTAACTCCTTTATCCAAATACTTTTGCATAATTCTTTTTCTCCATAGTCTTTTTCAATCTTTAGACAGATTGTTTTTACATACTTAAAATCATGATGGTAATTAAAGTTCTTTCTTTCCTCAACAATGCTTGGCTTTAACTATCCAGAGTCTTCGCATTTATTACTTTAGGTACTTAATTCTCCCTCGGCTCTCTTTGCTGTCCAGGTGGAATCGACTCACAGCTGACCCTCCAGTGGGTTTTCCGAGGCGGTTAACTGCACAAGAGGAGGCTGTACTTCTCTCTGGGACATGCTGGGAGAGAACACCACCCGAGAGCTGCAGCCCTGGGGTCAGCAGCACACCTCCCATCAGCCACACTAGCGGAGCTTTCTCAGTCAATGGCAAGGCTGTCGTTCCTTTTAGTATTTCCTCCATAATTTAACTCAGTCTCAATCTCACCATTGTCTTCAAACAGGATCAGATCTAAAGCCCCTGAGAAACCAAAAAGCATGTCTTCTCACTGAGGACATCAGCTTCACTAAAACAGAAACTTCAATGTGACAGTGATTCTGAGTAGAATCTGGTTTTCAATCAGAAGCCTACACTGCTATAAACAATAACTGGTCTTTCTATACTTAGAAATTCACGACTACACAAAGAACGTGATTTCAGATCTCATTCATCGGTGGTTTATTACTAATCTCAAGTGAAAAGAATTTCTTGTATATTCTGGAAAGGCTAGTTGTTGCTATTATGTGTTCTCAAGTCTGTTTCAATTCACAGCAATTCCATGAGCAGAACTGCTTCATATAATTTCTATGATTTAATTTTTACAAAAGTGAGCTCAGCACAAAGGCACACTGTCAGGTTTTCGGCTCCCAGAGTTACTGAGTTAAGTCTGAAGTGCACATTGTTCAGCTAAAGTCCAGGTATTTGTATCACTCAGGATTCTTTGGTGAGAGCCTCGACTATGACTCACAGTGACCCTACAAACAACAGGCACACCCTGTGCCAGCTCTTTGGGCTCAACTAAAAAAGACTTGAGAAAGACAATTTAGAATATGAGTGTTCTTAGCAGAGATACACAGTACTCACTTCAGAAGTACCCATCTGTCATGTACAGCCCCCGTCACAATAACTGTGTCACTTCACCTTGTTGCATGGCTTCCTCTATTGCTGATGCTCTGCTTTTTCCAGAGTAATGTCTTTTTCCAAGGACTGACAGCTCATAATATCATGTCCAAAGTTTGTGAGATGGAGTTTCACCATCCTTGACTCTGGCAAGCACTCTGGCTCCACCTCCTCTAAGACGATTTGTTTGTTCTTTTGGCAGTCCATGGGATATTCAGTACTCTTCTCTAACACCGCTATTCAAATCATTGATCCTTCTTAGATCTTCCTAAAGCACTGTCCAACTTTCACATGCGTATGAAGAACTTAGATCCACTCCAATTTGCTCTGGATAAGTAACATCATTTAAGAAATACAACTGAATTTCTAATGTCTAGCTATATATGGCTACTGAATTTTAAATGCCATTTAGTCAAAATGAAAATGTGCTGCAACACACAATGGAAAAATGGAAAAGATATCGATCCACAACACTCAATTTATTGCTGCTGGGTCAGAACCAACTCGCAGCTGACAGCCTCCAGCATGTGTTCAGAGCCCATCTTTCTCTCAGATGGCAGGTAAGAGATTTAAATGGCCTGCCTTTGGGCTGGCAGCACAAATCCTTACCCACTAGGCCACCAGAATAAGAGTTTTTATTTCATGCTTGGAAGGGTGGAGGAGGAAGACCCCAGATGGAGTGACACAGAAACTGGGGTAATGGTTAGGTAGGTGTGTCAGAGTCAGTGAGACGGCTCAGGATACAGCAGGGTTTAGAACTATGTCACTATGAGTTTCAGGCAACTCGATGGCACATAGCAACAAAAATAGTGAGAATGTAAGGAAAGGGCAGTATTTTAGAGATACTGGGTTAAAAATTATAAATATCAAAGAGTAATTTAACCTCATTTTTACTTGGATGATATTTCCATTGGAGAACAGTGTTCTATTATCTTGGACTTCTGTATCATGATGAATGGTGTTTTTAGTATCTGACAGACTAAGCTTCCAGGACTACTTTTGCAATACAAAACATCCACTAAATTATGTATTTGTCACTATTTATATTTATCCAATATTAGTAATTTCTCCATTCTTTTAAATTCAAAGAACAAATTATTTATAAAATGAGGAAGAGTGAATTAATAATAAAAACAAGCTCAGAGGTTACCAACATACCAAAGATTCAATGATTCCGTTCACGGTTGCACTTATACCTGTTGAAATGGATATTTGCTTCAATAGTTCATAACACAAGACAAGACACTTCTGTAATGTTTCCAAATCATCCTAAAGTGGAAGACAATACTCAGCATTTAGTATAAACACTTACATTATTACCATAAGACTTCTAGCTGCCTGTAGAATTAAGAAATAAATATAAAAAAGAAACTTACAAACTGACTATATAAAAATGAATTTAAAAATTATCAAAAACTTCTAATTAGTAGCAAGAAATACACCTCAAAATTTCAGAATTATTACCAAAGAAATGATACATCTGAATTACAGTCTTGATGAAGAACACTGAAAATACCATGGCATTCTGTTCTGTTCTACGTGAAATCACTGAGTCAGAACAGAACCAATGGAACCTAACTGCAGTGGAAACCAAATAACAAAGTTTCAGAATCTAGATTCTTCCTAATCAATAGGCAACTTTCCATTAGAAAAATACTAGACTACATACTCATTGTACATATTAAGAATCATAAATTAGAATAAGATGAAAATATAATCCCGCATCTTATAGCTGTATCTAAGATAATTTATGAGTAATATACTTTATCTCTGTTCTCTCTTCCTAATCGAACACGTTTAAAAGAAATGTATTCTGCTTAAGATTTAGTGATATGATGAAGGAACAAATGAAAGAAATATGCAGAATCCACAACTACTGCAAATTCCCAACTCATTTTTTAGTGCCATTGTTAAGTGATCTTATTTGCTATCTCACAGAAAAAAAACCAAAGACTAAGAATTCCTTCAACTTCCTGCCACAAAGCCATGAGCGAACATGTCTACCAGTTCTGTTTTTGGATACAGCATATTGTTGGTCAGAAGTTCTTAACACAATACACACTCTTTACATTCTAGGCCTTGACCTTTGCAAACACAATTCCATCTGCTTACAATACTAGTTCCTTCAAACTACTAAGTCATCAAAGAAAGATAGCACAAAGTGTGTTAAAAGCACAAATTTAGAGCCACTGCGTGGGTTTGAATCTTGGCCCTCTATAAAGTAGGGTTAGTTACATACCGACCTCGAAGGTTTATTGTTGGGATCAAATGAATGAACATTTCTATTTATTAGCTCACAGTGACACAGACAGCAATGCATCTCGTAACTGCTTACATTAGGATTTGTATTCAACCTCAAGTTAAAACTTCTCTTTCTCTGGGCAAACTAACAACAGACAATCTTTCTTTAAAACCCTATACAGGCCAAAGTACGTACTATGCTAAACTGTATTTACATTTACAGCCTTTACCCGGAAAAAACAGACACGTAACAGCCACAGCAATTCAAACTAAAGAATTATTAATCATGACAAACCATGCTTGCTAATATTTACCTAATTCAGATGTAGACTTTATATAACTTCTAAGATTAAAATAATTTTCAATGTTTAACTTGAAAAAAAAAACAAACCAATCCCCAAATGTATAAGCTAATAATGATACAGAGACTTCAAACAAATTAAATCAATTACTATCTTTTGTTGTTGTCAGGTGCCACGGAGTCAAATACAGCTTACAGCAACCCCAGAAACAAATGTGAGGCCCTCCCCATCCGGCCGTGCCCATGACCTCTAACAGTCCACTGTTAGTCACTTCGGCAATCCACCTTGTTGACACTTTGCTCTCTTTGTCTCACCACCTTTTGCAGTATAATGTCTTTTAAGAAAACACAGATACACTCATCGAGAAGTCAGGAGCTCTGGCCTAGAGGTGAGGAGTTGTACTGCCAACCCAACCCACCAGCCACTCTGAGTCAGAAAGATGGGCGATCAACTCTGGTGTGATTTACTGCCTCTGAAAAACTGCTGGAGGGTCAGCTATGAGTCGGTCTGATTGACTGGTACAGAACAACACTGGGAAGGGAAGGTCTACAGAACTAGAAAGCTCAGGGGCACAACTTCTTAATCTCTTATACACAGTTGGCACTAGGTGTTTTCTGATCTACATCTGTGAATTTCACCAAGTGTTGATGAAAACTGGCCAGAATGTGGAGGTGATGAGGTGGGAACAATTAAGTCAATGTAATCCCACATGACATTTACTTACAATACCAAGTACAAGGTAAATGTTTTATAATTTAGAGATTATTAAAGGCATTTGACTGCATGGACCAAAACAAATTGTGGCTAACTCTGAGAAGAATGGGAGTTCCAGAACACTTGATTGTGCTAATGCGAAACCTATACTTGGACCAGGAGGCGGTCGTCAGAACAGAGCGAGGAAACAATGTATGGCTCAAAATTGGGAAGGGTGTATGCCAGGGATGTGTCTCATCTCCATACCTTCTCAATCTATATGCAGAGCAGATTATCTGGGAGGCTGGGCTCTATGAGAAACGTGACATCAGAATTGGAGAAAGACTCATCAATTACCTGTGTTATGCAGAGGACTTAACCCTGCTTGCTGAAACTGAGGAGGGCCTGAAGCACTTGCTGCAGAAGGTCAAAGACTGCAGGCTTCACTATGGATTAAGGCTCAATATGAAGAAAACAAAGATTCTCACCACTGGGTCGATTGGCAGCATCACGACAGATGGTAAAGAGATTGAGATTGTTCACAGCTTTAGTTTGCTTGGCTCCACAATCAACACTCTTGGCACCAGCAGACAGGAAATTAAAAGATGCATTGTGTTTGGGAAAGTCTGCTGTTAGGGACCTCTCCAAAGTACTGAAGAGCACAGATGTCACTCTGGAGACTAAGGTGTGCCAGATACAGATCATGGTCTTAGCAGTCACTTGCTATGCATCAGAGAGCTGGACAACGACTAGGGAGGATAGAAGGAGAATTGATGCCTTTGAGCTGTGGCATTAGAGAAGAATATTGAATATACCATGGACTGCTAGGAAAACGAACAGATTTATCCTAGAGAAGGTTAAACCAGGCTGCTCCTTGGAGGCAAAGATTCTGAAGCTTTGTCTGACATACTTTGGACATGTTTCAAGGAGGGAACCAGTTCTTGGAGAGGGACATCATGCTTGGGAGGGTGGATGGACAACACAGGAGAGGAAGACCTTCTATTAGGTGGATTGATGCAGTGACTGAAGTAATGGGGGGTAGGTGTGTTGGAGACAGTGAGACTGGCACAGGTTAAAACAGGGTTTAGGGCTGTTATACATAGGGTGACTATGAGATGCAGGCGACTCGACGGCACATAACAACAACAAAGGTACAAAATACTGCTGAAAATAAACTTTAAATGTTGCTAAACACATAGTAAGTTTAGTATGCTATTAAAATTAAAGCAATTAATGTGTTTCTAAAAATATAAATTATGTTTTTAAAAATATAAGGGTATGATTATCACAGTAACTCTTAGCAGTAGAAAAAGTCATGGATCTTCCACAAACAAGGGAAAGACTGATGTATTTTCCTTTTCTAAATTATTTAAGACTGAAAAATCAAAAGGTAACAATGTAGGCAAGTTCCCCAACAGGGAAGAAAGATTTCAAATGCAAAGGATTAACCAAACAAGGAACAAATGAAAATTGTCAGTAGAAAACAAAAAGCCTTTTTAAATTCAAAGAAATAAAATGGAAAGGGGAAAAGATCTCCTTTATTCTAAATTCACAGTGTTGCATAAAGCCCTCGAAAATTAATTGCTGAGGTAGGAAAGTTTTGCTGAGATGACTGCAAAAAGTTGGGATTTGGTATTAGAAAATATTCACACCTTCTCTATGTGGACTTCTTTAATTTCAAGTTGCTCAGTCTCTTTCAACAAGCTTGTTTTGGCTTCTTCTAATGCTTTTATTTCTTCTTTTAGTTTTGATGCCTGATCGAAATCCTGTATGGTAATGCAGTGTTCCAAAGAATCTTTTGCTTCAATAATTTTAACTTTTATTTCAGCTATCTTAAAAAAAAAAAAAGATATGTGTTTAAACACAAACCAAAACCATTAACATGGTTATATGTAGTAATCTTGATACAAGCTCTTTAACATCCCAATCAGAATTTAAGTAGAGGCAGATATATACAAAGAAATTAATAGTCTTCCTAAAACAAATATGCTATTCCTTCATCCAGCCATAATCTAGGAACATTCTGTTGTTGTGTACTGTACACTCAGAACCTACCCTCTGGCGGGTTTTCATGGGCGATTAATCACACAGGAGGAGACTACTCATCTTCCTCCCGTGGGGGCCTCGAACCGAGTACTTTCAGGATTGTAGCACAGTTAAAATTTGATTTTGTTTAAACAATTTGAAAACCGTGTGACAAGAGGATAGAACAGAATTGCAGTATCAAGACCTTTAATTTAGATGGAATTTACCTTTAGTTCTTTCTTTCTTGTTTCAGCTAAATCTTCAACACCAACAGTCACAATGGGTGCTCGAATCTCTGAGATAATTTCTGTAACCTGTTATCAATTAAGGAAAGTTATAATTTGGATACACTTTTAATTTATTTAATACTAGCAAGTGATATAAAACAGTTTCATTAAGGAAAAAAAAAAACCATGAAAAACAAAGCCTACAGCATCCACATACAAGGAGCCTGGGTGATTATAACAGCTTGTGGGGAGCGAGCCTCGGCCGGGGCGGGCGCAGTGGTGGCTGGAGATGCTGTCGGCTTGCGACGGCGACTGGGGGCCTAGAGCTTGGCACTGAAGGCAGCTGGTAAAGTGAATGCTGAGGACAAAAGTTTGATGACCCAGACCACTGAATTTCTTTGTTTGGAGTACAAGTTATGAACCCTTTCTGGAGCATGTCTACAAGCTCTGTACGCAAAGGATCTGACGGTGAAGAGAAGACATTAAGAGGGGACGTGAAAACCAGTCCTCCACGCACAGCTCCAAAGAAACAGCTGCCTTCTATTCCCAAAAATGCTCTGCCCATAACTAAGCCCACGTCTCCTGCCCCAGCAGCACAGTCAACCAATGGCACGCATGCTTCTTAGGGACCTTTCTACCTGGAATATTCTCTTCTGGCAGAATTTACCTTGGTTGTGAAGCAGAAGTTACCAGGTGTCTATGTACAGCCATCCTACCGCTCTGCATTAATGTGGTTTGGAGTAATATTCATACGGCATGGACTTTATCAAGATGGTGTATTTAAGTTTACCGTTTATATCCCTGATAACTACCCAGATGGGGACTGTCCACGTTTGGTGTTTGATATTCCAGTCTTTCACCCACTAGTTGATCCCACCTCTGGAGAACTGGATGTGAAGAGAGCATTTGCAAAATGGAGGAGGAACCACAACCATATTTGGCAAGTATTAATGTATGCAAGGAGAGTTTTCTACAAGATCGATACAGCAGGCCCCCTAAATCCAGAGGCTGCAGTATTGCATGAAAAAGATATTCAGCTTTTTAAAAGTAAAGTGGTTGACAGTGTTAAGGTGTGTAAGGCTCATTTGTTTGACCAACCTAAAATTGAAGACCCTTATGCAATTAGTTTTTCTCCATGGAATCCATCTGTACATGATGAAGCCAGAGAGAAGATGCTGACTCAGAAGAAGCCTGAAGAACAGCACAATAAAAGTGTTCATGTCGCTGGACTGTCATGGGTAAAGCCTGGCTCAGTACAACCTTTCAGTAAAGAAGAGAAAACAGCAGCAACTTAAGAGGTGGTGAATCTGGTGCACTGTGCACTTTCCTGCTGGACTCTCACCTAGTGAATGCCACCAAGGGGCAAAGGACTGCCTGAAGAGTGAACGTGTGGACAGATGACTGAGACCAGTGTTTTCCCTGTATGCTTAGATTCTAACAGCAGGTTTGGAAACTTCTCTTTAAGTGATGCGTTACTTCTGTCAGAAGTGTCTTTAGGATGGTTATCTAGTTCAGTACTCCAAATTGTTGGGGACCTTGAGGCTGAAATATTTTTCTGAATATTAATGCTAAGATTGCATTCATTGAAACTAACACTAGAGTAAGGAGAATTCAACACTACTTAATGGTTTTTAAATCAGTGGTTTTAGTTGTACATATATTAGGATGTGGAGAAAGCAAATTCCATAGTTTAGCACTTTTAAGCTGAAGATCATTTGAAACTCAGTCCTCAGCCTACTGTCTTCCTGATTTATATACTGTTGTCACATAGGTACATATTAGATGAGGGAATAGAAACCAGACACTTAATCATAGGTTGGTTTTTTGTTTTGTTTTTTTAAAAGCAAATTACTTACTGTATTTTTGTGGTGGGAGAAAAAGTGTTAAAATGGTTTCTAATGAAATCTGATATTTAAATGATGAATGACTAATGTGTTTAGAAGAGACAAAATAAAATAATAAATGATAAAAAAAAAACCAGCTTGTGCTCCACCACTACACTAAAAGGTTAGTAGTTTGAACCCATACAGCAGCTTCAGAAAAGAAATTATGGCGAGCTCTGGTGGCCTAGTGGCAAGAAGCTGCACTGTAATCCTAGAAGTACATGGTTCGAATCCACCAGATGCTCTGCTGGACAAGGAGGAACAATCTCCTCCTGTAACAGTCAGATCTGATTTGACGGTACACACACACAAAATAATAAAAAAATTAATAAATTTAAAAAAAAAAAGAAATTATGGCAAACTGCTTCTGTGAGGACTGAAAAGTCCATGGCACACCACTAGTCTGTAACGTGTGGGCGCCATGATTCAGGGCCAACACTACAGCTGCTAACAAATTTAAGCAGCACACACTCTAGAAAACATTTCAGACTTCTGCTGTAGCAAGATCATACGGTAAGGCTGCGTAAAATGTTTTCCAAGAAAGAAATCCCTTTCAAAATTTGTCTTAAATGAAGAGCTAAAAAACATAGATGTCTAAAACAGTGTTTGAAAAACGGGGGCCGGGGAGACTGAATCATAGTGTCTAAAACGAGACATTATAAAGCAAAAGTCTCTTTAGTGTAACAAAGCTCACCTTCCTCCCTGTTCAGTTCCATCTGATCTAAACACAGGCAAACGAAGACCCTTTCCTAAACCCTACCCTTTTGATACGTGAGGGAATACCACCTCAGTGCAAAAAGAAGGATGGATTTCATTATTATTTTTACTTGGCAGTTAAAAAAGAAAAGACTAAATTGCTCAAAAACACAAATTATCTGTCAGAAGGGACTTGCCCGCAGGTATGTGTGACCTAAGTCAGTCCTCACTCAGATAACTCAATGTCTCATGGGCAAAACCTCATCCCTCTTGCCACCTGTTCCCAAACCTGCTCCACTTCAAACTGGTCCAGCACAATAACAGGTATGCTAAGAGGAGAAGGAAGGTTTTTTAAATTATAAATGTATACAGTATATTTGGAAGCAGGAGTGTCATCCACTTCCTAAACAACATGCCTCCAGAAACTCTTTGAACTTTGAGAAATGTCGATAGTTATAGAAAGGCTTCATGAAAGGCCTTTTGTTCACAGGGTCGCTATGAGTCGTGCTCAACTCAAATGCAATCAACAACAATACAGAATATATGACTTATTCTTAAAAGTTTTACAAACTACTGGAGGAACAAAACTAAAAGCAAGTAATAATTACAAAAGACTAAAAGGGGTAATACCATCAGCCAAAACTTTAATCTTTATCAACAGTGAGAAAAATGACTTACAATTTGTGTCCTCTTATTATCATCTGTAATGATGTGGAGTAGTCTCTCCACCAGAAAAGAAACGAGGGAAATTGGAGTTGAAGGTGAAGTAAGAATCTCCTGTAAGAGAGCCAGCAGTCGTTTCCTGGGTTCAAAAACAATTCAAGTCAACATTATGACAGTGGGAACACATGTGCTTTAACATTACCCCCATTCTACAAACCAATTACATTTGTCTCGGTTCTTTCTTTTACTTTTATTATTATATGCATGCAGTTTTTTATTTTAGGTCAAATATTCAAACTGTTAAAAAATTTTAAAAACCAACACATTTTAATAAATGACTCTATAGTCTTTCATAAATCAATGTGAGGAAATGAAAAAAATTACAGAAGTGAATTAAACCTCGTAGACAGAATTATTAACTCTCTAGAATAATAAATACAAACAGAAAATCTTCAACCCCAAAAAAGGTTACCATTTTATTGATTTGGTCCATAGGTACATTTGCATGTGTATTAAAAAAGGGAAATTTTTAAATTGTATTTTCAATAGCTAGGTTTTATATTTGCATATATTTTAACAGGGCTACATTTTAGAGTAGGAAATCAGAAGAACAAATTAGAGAATTTGTGAGCATTTAGACATACCTTCCGCCTTCCTCATTGGTATCCAAAGACTTGATAATCAGAATCAATTGTTGACCAATAAACTCTTTCGTCAGCAAATTTCCAATGTATGTAAAATCACTTCTCTGTTCCTCATTAACAACTGGAATGCTCTGAATATAACTAAAGCCAAGAATCAATAAAATAAAAAATCAATTTGAAAACATACAGGTGTGGATTCTCTAAATTAGGGTCGTCCCCCCCTCATTCATATTAGTCCAAATATGGTGCTTATGAATGTTTTGGATGTTGTAAACAAATTGACTTGGATCAAATATATTTGAAAAATGCACTTTTGTTAAAGATGTTACAGGAAATTCTCAAAAGGAACAAATTTTTAGTGCTCCAATTAATAACTATTTCAATGTCACTTAGCGTTCACTCAATCACAAAATTCCAAAAATCCAGTCACACAGAACTTGTCTCATCACGCCTGATTATCAATCCAACATTCTTTTGCTTAAAATAATGGTATTACCAGGAATCCACCAAGAATTCAGGAACATAATGATCTTTAGGAAAATGAAGATGTGCACAGTTCTGTGAAAGGGACCCGACAAGCTTCTCTAATGCTCTACACAAACACGATCACTCTCCCTTTTATTCCTAGCTTTTAACATCTCTCACCTAGCATATGTTCACTAGTCTACCAGAGAAGCCTCCCTTTAATGTACAGAACAGGAAAAGCCACCTGAAAATAGAATTAAGAGTATAAGTTAGACGAGGTGCCTTCAAGTTCTAAACAAAATTGTGGTGGTGGTGGACCGTCGCTGGGAATTGACACACAGCTGATCCTCCAGTGTTTTCAGAGGCCATAAATCCCTCAAGAGGAGAGTGTTCATCCTTCTCCCACAGAGTAGCTGGTGAATTTGAACTCCTCAACTCCTTCCCGCTAACCCACCAGAGATCCCTCAAAATAAAACAGAAAATGATCTTCTTGGTGATAATGAGACATATAAAAACAGAAAGATATACAAACTATACATCACTATATAACAACCCATCTATTACAAAATGAAAGGGGGCTCTAGTGGCTTGGTGGGTTAAGGAGCTGCACTGGCAACTCATTCAGAGTCAGGTGGTTCAAACTCACCAGCTGCTCTGTGGGCGAAAGGCAGAGCTCCTCCCACGTGATATTAGAGCCTCTGAAAATCCACTGGAGGGTCAGTAATGCATCAGTTCTTACTCTAATGGCAATGACAGATTATAAAACGATAGCAAAGAGTGGAAAAAAAGAAACAAAACTCCAAACCAAACATGCACACCCCTACAGCTCCAGTCACAAGATACGGAATTTCAAGGCATCTAAAATTCTAACTCTAACACTAACTAAGGCTCTAAAACCCACTGCATCCAGACGGTTCCAATTCATTATCAACTCCACAGACAGACTAGAATTGCCCATAGGCTCCCAAAGCTGTAAAGCAATTACTTGAAGGAAGAATATTGAGCATTTCCTCCTATTTCCCTTACCTTCTCTAGGTACTTTCCTACTGTTACTTACCATTATACAAAACTAATTTCTTTTGAATATTCAACAATATCCAAATAACCTACTAATGAATATTCTAAATAATAGTAAAATATGAGATAACTTCCATGAATATACCTATTCTATCAGTGTACATTCTGGTGGCCTCGTGATAAGGAGTTGCACTGCCAACCTGAAGGTATGGGGTTCAACTTCATTAGCTGTTTACAGAAGACAGATGGGTAATCACATCCTATTTGAATTGCTGCGTTGGAAAACCCCCTAGAAGGTCAGCTATGAGTGGGTTCTGACTTGACAGTACACAACAACAAAAATAACTTTAAATTACACAATTCCATATTGTCTTTTTAATTCCTGTAATTTTTTCCCAACTGTTGCACATCATCCCCCATCCTCCAGCCCTCCTTACAATGCACCCCTTGCTCCAGATTGTCATACATATAATGCAAAATCACATTCCCTTCTGACAGTTCTTCCCCTCATCTGATCTAATGTTCATTGTCTATCCACTCTTTTCTCATTCTCTTCCCAACCCCTCATGTCTATCCCATTTTGCCCCAGTGTTATGCAGTATTTGTTGTGACTGAGATGTTTCACTCAGTATAATGTCCTCCAGAGTCACTCATGTTGTGTAATATTTTACAAGTTGTTTTTTAATGCTGAGTAATATTCCACCGTATGAATATGCCCATTTTTTTTTAAAACAGAATCTTTATTTTTATACTGGCTTACTTAAAAAGTTTGTTAATATATTGTTTTATACATCAGAACTTTCCCAAATCCTTTAGCCACCCCGCCCTCCAGCCATCAAATTGTGTGACCCCATAGGGGTTTCCTCTGCTTCCCCTCCCCCTTGGATCTTCAAACACATTCTACAATGATAATGCCATAGTTTTTCTACCCATTCATTTGTTGACAGGCACTTGGGTTGCTTCCATCTCTTTGATAGTGTGAATAATGCAGCAATAAACATGGATGTGCTTACTTCAGTTTGAATCATGGATCTGGTTTCTTTAGGGTATGTTCTTAGTATTTCAATCGCTAGGTCAAATGATGTATTTTCAACTTTCTGACACAGTGCCAGACCATTTTCTATAGTGGCTTAATGGCTATACTATTTTACATTCCCACTAGCAGTGAATAACCTCTCCACAACGTCACCAGCATTTGTTGGCTGCTGGCCTGCTGAACTTTATTACTGTTGCAGGAATGAGATGGTACCAATCTCATAGTTGTTTTTATTTACACCTCTCTGATAGCTAAGGATTTTGAACATTTCTTCATGTGTTTGTTTGCCACCCGAATGTCTTCTTTGGTGGTCTATTAATATCCTGTGCACATTTTGTCATTGGTTTATTGCCTTTTCCTTGTTGAGGTGTTACAGTGTTCTATAAATTTTAGAAGCCCTTTTTCAGGTATGTCGTTACAGATTTTCCCAGTCCGTGTGTCGGTTTCCTTCTTATCCTGTTGGAGAAGTTTTTTGGTACGTATAGATTTGATTCTTGGAAGAATCACCTGTTTTATTTTTCCACTTCTGGGTTTTTCATGATACATGGAAGACTGTTCAGGCTGTGAGTTAGGGCTTCCAGTATTCTTCCTAGTTTTTCTGATTAATTTTACAGGTTTTGGTTTTACTTGTCCCTTATACACCTTGAGTTGGTTTTTGTGTATGGTGTGAGTTACAGATCTTGCTCATGTTTTCCGCAGATGGTTTTCCAGTTTTGCCAACACCATTGTTAAAGAGACTGTCATTTCCCCACTTAACTGATTTCATGTCCTTGTCAAAGGTCAGCTGACCAATGGTAGATGAGCAAATTTCTGCGTTCTCAATTCTATTCCATTGATCTATGCGTCAGTTGCTGTCCCACTATCGTGCTCTCCTGACCACACAGCCATGCGGTAGGATTTGAGATCAGGGAGTGTGATATCTCCTACCTTATTTCTCTTTTTCAATACTGTTCTGCTTACTAGGGGCCTCTTTCCATTCCAGATAAAATTGAAAATTGCCTTTTCCATCTTGTTGAAGAATAGAATGGGTAACGATTCTAGGATTGCAATGAATTTGTAGACTGCCTTTGGTAGAACTATCATTTACATATTAACTTTTCGTATCCACGAGCATGGTTTATTCTTCCATTTTTTCCAGGTCCCTTTTTGTTTCTTGTAATGTTTTGTCATTTTCTTTGTATAGGTCTTTTGTGTCTTTCGTTAGATTTATTACCAAATATTTCATTTTGTGATTAGCTACTGTAATTGGTATTGTTTTTCTTAGCTTCATTTTCTCTTTGTCACCGTAGAGAAATCCAACCAATTTTTATAAGTTCCTCTTGTATTCCTTAATGCCTTTGAGCTGTGGTGCTGGAGAAGAGTATTGAGAGTATCATGGACTGCTAGGAAAACAGATTCATCCTGGAAAGGGTTAAACCGGGTGGCTCCTTGGAGGCAAGGATTCTGAAGCTCCGTCTAACATACTTTGGACATGTTGTGAGGAGAGACCGATCCTTGGAGAAGGACATCATGCTTGGGAGGGTGGAGGGACAGCGCAGGAGGGGAAGACCCTCTATGAGGTGGATTGATTCAGTGACTGGGACAATCGGGATGGAAGTGTCAGAGACAGTGTGATTGGCACAGGACAGAGCAGAGTTTAGGGCTGTTGTACATAGGGTCGCTATGAGTCACGGGCAACTCGACGGCACAGAACAACAACAACTTGTATTCTGGTACTCTGATGAGTATGTTTGACAATGTTCAGAAATTTTCTCACTGAATCTTTAGGGTTTTCTAAGAATAATACAATCTGCATATAGAGATAGTTTTACCTCTTCTTTGCCAATCTGTGTACCTTTGCTTCCTTGTTGTGCCTTATTGCTCTAACACTTTCAATACAATACTGAATAGGAGAAGTGCAAGTGAGCAACCTGCCTAGTTCCTATTTGCAAGGAAAATGCCTTTAATCTCTCTTCACTGACAACAATGTTGGCTCTTGGCTTGCTCTATATTATTTTATATTTAAGATTTCCTGAAGTCTGGGTTTTTCTATGAAAAAATCATAAGCATTCCTAATTTTAGTCCTTAATATATGGGACCACTATAAACAAGTAATTCAGGCCAGTAATTCATGTTACACATAATAATGTTTTTAGACATACAACATAGCATAAAATTTAAAGATCTACACACCAAAAATCCAACCTTTGGCCAAATTATACCATTTCTGGGAATATACTCCACCAACACATGTAAACATGTGCTGCTGGTGTTATGGACCGTTGAGTCAGAATCAACCCATTACTGACGCATTAGTGAGTTTTCAAAAGGAGACTGCTCATCTTTTGACGACAAAGCAGCGGGTGGATTTGCAGTGGCAAAGCAATTCCCTACCACTGAGGCACCAGAGCTCCTTTCAAAAGTTTAAGAGAGTTTAATACGTTTGTTTTCCATATGTGATTTTCAAGACAGAAGTTTATAAACTATATTTCAACTTGAATATTTTTGGAAGGAAGGTTGCTTGTTTTTTGTACCGAATCTAATTTTATTTTTTAAAAGGCCTTTGAGTTTCCTGTTTCTTTTCAAAACGATTCTTCTAGGAATAGTGTTGTAATCTTCACTGTATAATTTATAGTATGATATT